TTACTGAGATATGCTGAACCGTTTCCTTACTAGGGAATAGGGGATGTAGTAAGTGGAGTGGAGTGGTTCTTATCTGCCGTCACATTCTGTTTCTACATATACAGATAAGGAAACGGTTCAGCATATCTCAGTAGGGAATGTAGTAAATGTAGTGGAGGGATAAGAGCTGTAGTAGGTGATAGGCACTGAAATGGGAGGATAGGGGCTGTAGAGGAGTGATAGGGGCTGTAGTTGAGGGGAGGAGCTGTAGTCATGGGATGTAGAAAAAAATATGTGCTCTAGAGGGGCAGTAAGGGTTGCAGTTGAGGAGAGTTGCTGTAGTCGGCGGAGACGGATGTTGTGGGGTAATAGGTGCTGTATTTTGGGAAAAAGAAATGTAGCAAGGGATAGGGACTATAGTAGAGAGATAGGGGCTGTAGTGTGGGGGATATGGGTTGTAGTAAATAGATATGGGCTTTAATTGTGGGATAGGAGAGCATGGGACTGTAGTGGGGGATATTGCCAGTGGTATGGTAAAAGGGGCTGTAGTGGGGGATATTGCCAGTGGTGGGGTAAAAGGGGCTGTAGTGGGGGATATTGCCAGTGGTGGGGTAAAACGGGCTGTAGTAGGAGATATTGACTGTAGTGGGTAACAGAGGCTGTAGCATGGGGGATAGGGCTGTAGTATTGGATAGGGCTGCAGTGGATAGATAGAGGCTGTAACATGGGATAGGGGACTGTAGTATGAAAGGTAGGGACTATAGTGGGGATAGTGGCAGTAATGGGTGAATAGGGTCTGTAGCAGAAGATATAAGCTCTAATGGGGATAAGGGCTGTAGTGTGGTATAGGGGCTGTAGTATTGGATAAGGGCTATAGTGTTGGATAGGGGCTACAGTGGGGGCGCTAAGGGTTGCATTTGGGGCATAGGAGCTGTAGTGGGGTATACAAGCACTAGCAGGGGACAGGGCTGTAATGTGGGGTATAGGATATGAGAGATGTCGGCTGAGCAAGATGTCTAAACATAGGAGCTGTATTGAGGGATAGGAGCTGCAGGGAAAGTATAAAAACAATTAAAAAAATAAAATAAAATAATAATAAATTATATTCCCCCCTCCCCGAGGCTTACCTTCAGCCAAAGAGAGGGAATCCTGGTCCCTGGTGGTCCAGTAGGATAAGTTGCTAGCCTGCACCCCTGGTGGGTGCAGACAGCTCCTTCCAGCCAGCCCCAGGGAAAGTATCAGAGCATTGCCACAGATTACTGTAGAACTCGGCCTGTAACCACAGGGGGTTCATCCCAAATTCTCTCTCCTACTCCCTGTTATCATGATGGACTGGCAGGTGAGGGCATCCTGGATTGACTTCTCGGGGTGACCTGGACCCCCCCTCTTAATCCACCTCTGAGCCCCCCCAATAAATAAGCCTCTGAACCTCTTAGACCAAAGTTGAAATTAATTTGTACAAATGTATTTAAAAATAGAAAAAAATAATTTTGTGTTGCTCATTATTTTACCACAAACAAAGATTAAAATTGCCTGTAAAAGATGCCTGTAAAAGTGGGTGAAAGCAACTTATATTCAACAATACTGTACGTTTTCCGCTCTTTGATTTAACGAATAGAATGACGGCAGTAATATTATCGTAGAGCTTTCTTTCCCTGGCTGTCTTCTGTCCTACGAAAGTATATTAATTTAGCAAATATGTACAAAAGCTCCGGCACTCGCGACATTGATCAGGATTTTAATATACACTGTTGACCTTAATGATGCTCTATTGAGATGAGGGCATAAGATGTCTGATCAAGTGGAGATTAATTTTGGTCCGCTGTATCTGAAAATGCATTAGAATGCCCTCCCTCTTTTGTATTAGACTTTCAGTTATGATTGATTGAGTAGTTTACAAATAAAGGAGATAAAATTAGTTTGAGAACCACATACATTTCTTAAAACGAGGCCGGCTGGTCGTCAAGACAATACTCTTTGGACAGATTGTGTTACTGGTTTAAAGCAATCTCTGAAGGTGTCAAGATTTATAGGCCTTAAGACTAATTTTACATTTTGTCTGCTGACTCCGATATGGGTATCTTTTCAAATTCCTTCCCACTTTACTTAGAAAAAAAGCCATTATGGAGTTATAGTCTGTACAAAAAGAAGCATTTCTTACTTCGTAAGCTGTAATAAACTCTGCTAAGAAAATATAAAATATGAATTGCACCTTATTAGGGTGAAAAATCCAGACGCTGTATTGTTATTTATGTGCTCGAGAAGATATTGGACTTTCTCAGCAGAGTTAGAAAAGGGCTGTTTTATTTCCTTAAATAAACAGTATGTTTAAATGGAAACAATTCTATAATTAATTAAGAATTTTCAGCTCAAACATTCTTAGGACTAAAAATGACAGATGCATCTCATACCAGTAAAATTGAAAAGTGGGGAATGAACGCAAATATAGCTCGGGCAACTCTAAATGCTAATTCATCATCCTTTAAAAAGGCACATACATATATTTAGATAGATTATATTTTATTCACTCCAGTTTTTATCTGGTAGGGTTAACTGTTACAGTGTCAGGGGCAGAAAAATAACTGGTACCACATGTGAGTGGGAAGGGGGATTTGGGGCAATAATTGAGGTTTTATTGATACGATAGATAGATAGATAGATAGATAGATAGATAGATAGATAGATAGATAGATTCATATTCCCAACTTCGTTCCTGTCTTGTTGTCCTAGAGTGGTTCTCTGGTGTCCTTCATCTGGAGACACCAAGAAAATGTTCCCCCAGCAAGCACAGAGTAAATGCACCATTAGACGCGCTTGTGCTGTGCTGTGGGCACTGGGAACGTGCATAGAGCAGGGCAAAAGCCCCCTGGCATAGCTCTCAACTGTCCCACTTTTGGCAGGTCAGTCCCATTTATGGGGTCCTGTCCTGCCCTCCGGCTTCAGGAATGGTCCACGGGCAGCACAGAATAAGTACATCATTAGACGCGCTTGAGCTGTGCAACCGGCCTATCACAGCCACACCGTTCCATTAAAGCTAAAAAGATGTTTATTATTTATTTATTGTGATGGTAGTCAGTGGCTTTTCCAGGTTTCATACTTAGGGAGGGCACATAAGGGGCCAGGAACAAAAGTAGGGGGGCAGTCAGGGCCAGATTAAGAGCCCAGTGGGCCTGGTGCTGACAATTATGACGGGCCTAATTACAGAATCATATCGACCAAAAACAGTAAAACACTCCCAAGCATCATGTATCTGATGGAGATGGTGCTGGAGAGTAAGAAAACAGCAGCTATAAGAAAATGCTAATCTCTCTCTAATTTATGTTTTCATCTTTCAAGTAAATCCATAACCCCTAACAGCAGTGTCCAGTCAGGCAGGAAGTCAATGGGCGGTAAAAGGGTGTGCCACTGACACAAATCACGTAACCTGCCAAAAGGGGCGAACATGCCCAAAAAGAGGACATGTCTGCTCAAAGAATTAGAAGGCCAGCCTGGCATGAATGCATGTCAGGCTGCCTGCCAATCATGCAGCTGGCCAACTAAGGGCATACTATGCAGACAGCACCCTGAGCTTGGCATAAATGCATCTAATGATGCGCTCACTCAACGCTTTCTAAGGACTGTCCCCTAGCACTCGCTGGTCCACTTACCTTCTTACTAGCAGGCAGAAGCTCCTGGTATATGGTCTGGGACAGAGAAAAGCTGTATGTAGTGAGTGTAGAAGAAAGGGAACATGTCACAGAGAGACCAAAGTCAGCATTACCTTAAAGGATCACTATAGGGTCAGGAACACAAACATGAATTCATGACCCTATAGTGTTAACACCACCATCTAGCCCCCTGGGCCCCTCATGCCTCCATAAATATAGCAAAATCTTACTATATTCAAGCCCGAAGCTGTAACTCTGCATGCTGTTAGACTCATAAAAACAAGCAGTCTGCTGACATCATTAGAAGTGGCGGCCTGATCCAATCACAGTGCTTCCCCATAGGATTGGCTGAGACTGACAAAGAGGCAGATCAGGGTCAGAGCCAGCATGATTCAAACACAGCCCTGGTCAATCAGCATCTCCTTATATAGATGAATTTAATTAATGAATCTCTATGAGGAAAGTTCAGTGTCTGCATGCAGAGGGAGGAGACACTGAATGTTTGGATGCATTTTAGGCAGCCATGACCCAGGAAGGATCTCTAACAGTCATCTAAGGAGTGGCCAGTGAAGTTATCACTAGGATGTAATGTAAAGACTGCATTTTCTCTGTGTTTACAGCAAAAAGCCTGACGGTAATGATTCTACTCACCAGAACAAATTCAATAAGCTGTAGTTGTTCTGGTGACTATAGTGTCCCTTTAACTATATTCATTGTCAGCCAGTCCACACAAGTTTTGTTCCCATACATCCCACCTAAGTTTCCATACTTAAGTAAGAGTATGTGAAAAGTAGTTAGATTTGCCACCTTTCTTGGAAAAAAAAGGAGTGACATAAGAGGAAATGCTGTAAAATCACCAAAAAACTACTTAGTTTGATTCTGCTGTATAGATGGATTCCTCCCAGTGCTCCCATGTCTCCCAGTGTCCTCATGACTCAGTGCCCCCATGTGTCGATTACTCCAGGTCTCAGTGTTCCTATGTATCAGTGTCTCAGTGCCCCATGTCTCCCAGTGTCGTGTCCCCAGGTCTCCCAGTGATCCTATGTATCACACAGTGTCTCAATGCCCCATGTCTCCCTGTGTCCCCATGTCACTAGGACACTAGGAAGACGGGGAGACCTCGGGACACGGGGAGACCTAGGGACACGGAGACACAAGTGACACTGGGAGACTAAGGGACTCTGGCTGGGACACATGGGGACAATGGGAAAATAGGGGACATTTGAAGACATGGGGACACAGACACCAGGGACACAGACACTAGAGACACTGGTTAGGGGACATGGGGACATTGAGACATGGAGACACTGGGAGACATGGGGACACTGAGACACCAGGGCCACAGACACTAGGGACACTAGCTTGGAGACATGGGGACATTGTGACACTTGAGGCAATGAGAGACATGGAGGCACTGGGAGACATGGGGACAGTGAGAGACTGAGAGACTAGGGGGCACTGAGACACCAGGGACACTGGCTGGGAGACATGGGGACATTGTGTCCCCATGTGTCTGTGTCATAATATCTCCCAATGTCCCTTAGTGTCTCAGTGTCTGCCATAATGTCTCCCAATGTCCTTTAGTGTCTCAGTGTCTGCCATAATGTCTCCCAGTATCCCTTAGTGTCTCAGTGTCTGCCATAATGTCTCCCAATGTCCCTTAGTGTCTCAGTGTCTGCCATAATGTCTCCCAGTGTCCCTTAGTGTCTCAGTGTCTGCCATAAGGCCTCCCAATGTCCCTTAGTGTCTCAGTGTCCCCATGTCTCCCAATGTCCCTTAGTGTCTCAGTGTCCCCATGTCTCCCAATGTCCCTTAGTGTCTCAGTGTCCCCATGTCTCCTTGCAGCCTTTCCCCCCATCCCTTACTTCCCTGAGCTGTAGGCTGTCTCTGCAGGGTGGGAGTTGCTGTCTGGACTCTCTGTAGCAGCACCCCTGCAGATCAGTGAGTATAGATAGGCAGGGAGGGATATGCTGGAACTTCCTATCCCTGCCTGTCTCCACACACAGCGACCCCTTCTGGCCAGTGCTGGTATTGCATAGTAATCTCTTGTTTATACTGATAAAAATACCAGCATTTGTATTGCCAGTATCACTGCAATATTGGCACCAGCCAGGCAGCCTCAAATACTGGCTGTGCCAATAAAATAAAAGCCAGGTGGAATACCTAAGAGTAGTGTGTGAAAAAAAAAATGTAAAAAAAAAAAATTTTTTTTTTTTTTTTTTTTAAATCAATGGGCCTATTCCATGGGCCTGGGCCTGGAGCTGCAGCTCCATCAGCCCCTATGTTAATCCGGCCCTGGGGGCAGTTATAAAACGTGTATATATGTGTGTGTGTGTATATATATATATACACACACATACATACACAGGGCTCGACAAATTCCTGTCGCCAGGTCACCATGGCGACTAGACATTTCATCCTGGCGCCTGACATTTGTCAGTCCTTTGCTAAGCCGCCTAGGAAACATTAGAGCCGGCTGCTGCGGGGAGCATGAACTGCCCCCCACACAAACTGACCCATACACACACACACAGAGACCGCTCCCCCACACAGACTGACCCCCCCACACACACACAAACTGACCCATACAAACACAGACTGCCCCTCCCACACACACAGATTGACCCACCCCACACAGACTGACCCATACACACACACACACACACACACACACACACAGACTGCCCCATACACACAGACTGCCCCATGCACAGACTGACCCATACACACATGCAGACTGAGCCATACACACACAGACTGACCCATACACACATAGACTGAGCCCCACACACACAGACTGACCCACCTCACACAGACTGACCCATACACACAAACTGACCCCCACCCCCACACACAGACTGACACCCCCACACACAGACTGACACCCCCCACACACAGACTGATCCCCCCACACATAGACTGGCCCATACACACAAATACACACAGACTGAACCCCACACACACACACAGACTGACCCATACACACAAACTGACCCCACCCCACACATACAGACTGACCCATACACACAGACTGACCCCACCCCACACACAGACTGACACCCCCACACACAGACCCCCCACACAGACTGATCCCCCACACACAGACTGAGCCCCCCACACAGACTGAGGCCCACACACAAATACACACAGACTGAACCCCAGACTACACACAGACTGACCCATACACACAAACACACACAGACTGAGCCCCCACACACACACAGACTGCCTATACACAAGACATAGACTGACCCCCCACACACAGACTGACCCATACACACAAACACACACAGACTGACCCATACACAAACTCACACAGACTGACCCCCACACACACAGACTCCATACACACAAACACACACAGACTGACCCCACACACACACACAGACTGACCCATACACCCCCACACACAGACTGACACCCCCACACACAGACTGACCCCCACACACACAGACTGATCCCCACACACAGACTGAGCCCCCACATACACACAGACTGAACCCCCCACACACAGACTGACCCATACACACAAACACACACAGACTGACCCCCACACACACACAGACTGACCCATACACACAAACACACACAGACTGACCCCCACACACACACAGACTGACCAATACACACAAACACACACAGACTGACCCACACACACACACACAGACTGACCCATACACACAAACACACAGACGCCCACCCCCACACACACAGAGACGGCCCATACACACAAACACACACAGACTGACCCACACACACACACAGACTGACCCATACACACAAACACACACAGACTGACCCCCCCACACACACACAGACTGACCCCTACACACAAACACACATAGACTGACCCCTCCACCCCCCACACACACACAGACTGACCCATACACACAAACACACACAGACTGAATCACACACACTGAGTTACTGTCACATCCTGCTCTGTTCTGTGGAGATGTCTGGCTATGGCTTCTGGTATCCAGTACTCTTTTTACAATTCTTGTTTAGTTTTTCTTGGTTTTTCTGGTTTTCTATTCTATGTCTGATTTTCTTTATGCTGGGTTTCTGGGTTCATTCCTGTATTCCGTCCCTGGATTTCCCAGTCTCCAGGTTTCCTTTAAATGTTTGTTTTATGTTGCCACACCCGTTTGTTTTCCATCATTCCTTTTTGTTTCAGTGTTCCTGTAGGCAGCTGCTCAAGCCTTCTGCCCTTTCTTGCAGGTAAGTACTATGTGTGTTTTCTTTGGTTGGTTTAGCATACATTAGGCAGAGAAGGACCTGCCAGATATGGGGTACATTGGCGTTGTTGGCAGGCTTATGCAATGTGTGATCATATAATGTAACTAAATCCCCATACTTTTCATATATAGTGCTTAGTTATGTCTCTTCTTGTTTTACCTTGTATCTCTTGTCTTGTTTTATTTTGTCTTGTATTCCCAGTTCATGTACAGTCCTGTCCTGCCCTGTTCTTGTTTTCCTCATGTCTTGTGTACATGTTCTGGGTTCTGCTTTCTGTCCTGCTCTGGTTCTGGGTTCTCCTAGTTTTGTCTTGTTTTCATGTATGGTGCCTATCTCTAGTCTTGCCTTGCTTCAGTACTGGATACATTCCTGCTGCAGAGCCTCCCTATTCAGCTCCTGGGAGGTCTGCTTAATTTCAAGCTCCTAGTTCCTGGGATCCGCAGTAGCTGCATCAGGGCTCTGGTATGTGGCCGCACAAACGCTGGTGCTCAACACCAGAGGGCATGTGGTTGCCCTGCACCAGGCCCTGACCTATCCACTCACGCTGAAGACTCCCACTTATCATCAGGCATACTGGGTCCCGGTCCACGCACCACCGCACGGACAGTGTCTGGGTCCCGGGCACCGGACCGCCACCCTGACACTTACACTTACCAGCAGCTGCCTGGATGCCTCATTCCCCCACACTTTGTGCAGAGCTGAGCGTACTCTCCCCTGCGCTGCTCTCTATGCCTGAGGATGAAGTCATCCAATAACAGTGCCACCTCTGGCCACACGTGGGAAAAGGGTGTGCTGCTGCAGCTTGTGAGGGGAGACAGTGCTCCGGACTTCAATTTCAATTGGGGGGCACAAGGGGGAGCACTACATGATGTGGGGGTGGGGGGCACAGCCCCCTTTGGCCCACTCCTAGTGACGCCACTGACAGTAATCACTATCACCAAGAGCTTATACCCTACTACAGCCCCATATCCCAGCAGACCCCAGGTAAGTTGTCAAACTGTTCTTAAACGGTTTGACTACTTACTCTGGGAGGGGGTCCCGGCACTCCTTGCACCATAACCACTACACAGAGCAGTAGTGGTTATTGTGCATGGATTATTTCTTTAAATAATCTACAAGTGCCCCTCCCGGGATCAGACTCTGGATCCACCACTGGTATATGACATGTATATTAATGTGTGTATTAGTTATATATATATATATTATGCCTATTATATTTACACATATATTAATGTACATTTATATATGCATAATACACAGAGAAATGTCATTAATATGTACCATATGTAATGAGCAGATATTGGCCCAGTCTTGTTGCTAGGTGCATACTCCGTCACAATAACATATTTAAAGTGAAGAGCGCACCCACAGGACTTCAAAATAAACAAGATAACGTCAATTTTTTACAGTTGTGCCCTACATACATTCACCATTTCAGTCCCATTACCAAGCTTTCCTTAATATGTCAAGGTAGTTGGACTGAAACATTGATTACATGCAAAGGCACGTCTGCTTAAAATAAATCTGCACTTTTGTTTATTTTGAAGCCTATGAGTGCTTTTTTTTTAACGTTAGAGTAATAATTTTAAATTTTAAGTTATCTGTTCTAACTCTGTATCTGCACACTATGCTGGCGCGATGCATTATGGGGCTGGGAAATATTTTTTTTCCAGGGCTGCTTTTAATTCCCAGTCCGGCCCTGATGAAGGCTGCTGTGCCCTGGTGGTCTACAGACAAGCTCACTGACACACACACACACACACACACAAGCTCATTACAAACAAATTATTAGAATAGAAATATGACAACTGGGGAGGGGAGAGAATCCTGCAAGAGCAGGAAAAACCACCCCCTCACCAGTACTACCTCTTACTATAGAAGAAACTTGCACATAATATAATCAAACTTTATTAGTAATCCAAAAGACGGGAGAGAGAAAACTAAAAATTAGTGTGAGAAACCGTGAAAGACCAACTAGTGGATCTTAGATGTAAAATAAAAGAAAATAAGAGACCGCTAGACCAACTGATCTATTGGAGATCCAGTATCTAATATGGAAAAGCAACTCAATGTATGAAAATCAGGTAATGATGCAGTCCATAGAAATAAAGTCCCAAATGGATTTAATCAGATCTATGAATTGCCGAACTGAATAATGTTACAGTTCAGTAACCGTGAACTATTGTAATCTAAATAATCACAAATAAATAAGATATAAATCACAGTATAGGGAGACTAACAAATGTTGCAATTGAGTAAGACACTAGTAAAATATATTGCAACATAAAGGCTCCTGGAACCTTGCCAGGAGACAAACTCCAATTTAGGCAGAAAATATCTATAAGCCCATATAGAGAAATGGGGTGCAGAACTAAATATAAGGGGATTACTGGCACATTCTCGTCTTTCTAAAAAAAACAGAAAAGAGGTAAGGGTATACC